ACACACACACACACACACACACACACACACACACACACACACACACACACACAAGCAGAAAGAGATGCAAGTCCGTGCCAAATAATCCCTTCAAAAGTATTTCATACAACATGTAAAATCACTGAGGAGAAAATTGAGTTAAAGCACAGAAAATGTTACTTTGCAGACTACATTAGAGGACCCCAGCATAAGCTTTTAAAAGGTAATCAGGCCTGCTACCTCACCTTTGTGCTGAGTTGCAGATAACTGCCTCCTGTAGATGTGTGTAAATGCATCACAGTGAGGCAGCAGAATAGCTGTGTGCGCACACTGACATGTTAAATTAGCCAGCAGATATGAAAGAAGGCATTTTCAGGCTGCATGAATCTCCTCAGGGAAGGTAGATGCAGGAGTTTTTAAATAGATCAGATTTTCTTTATTTTATGTTGGTGTTGTTTTTCATTTTCATTTAATCTGGCAAAACCATAAAAGCTGACAAGTTTGTCGTTTATATGTACCAATCAGCCACAACATTAAAACCACCTGCTTAATACTGTGCATCGTTCCCTCTGCCTGCCAAATCAGCTCTGACCTGTTAAGGCATGAACTCCACAGACGTCTGAAGCTGTCAGGCACTGAGACATTAGCAGCAGATCCTTTAATTCCTCTAGGTTGCAAGGTGGGGTTTGAGGCCTGGGAAATAGCAAAGCCAAGTCGACACCATGGGTGCTTTGTCATGTTCCTGAAATCATTTGTAATTTAGGTTTGCAGAACAGTTGCATTATCAAGCTCAGAGAGGCCACAAGAGTCGCAAAAGGGGTGTACATAGACACCAGTGTCCAGGCAGGCGGTAACACACACGGACTGATCGTCTACTTGATAATACAGAAGCTAAAATAATAAATCTTATTTATTATCTGATCTAATAATAAGAGGAAGCTCGTTCAACAGCGGTGCAACTAAAACAGCAACAATGTGGATCCCCTTCATTTTAAGCCTGGACCGTGGAATCTGTGGCAGCCATTGATTCTCTGATCCGAAGGGTTCGGGCGCAGAAACAGGGGGTTAAGAGTTCTGAGATATTAAGTGGAGCCATACCATGTAGTGGTTTAAAAGCAATCAATAAAATCCTAAATTGGATTCTGTAGGAATGGGAAGCCAGGGTAATTCTGCGAGGACTGGAGTAATGTGTTCGATGGGTTTGTGAAGAGCTTTGCTGCAGTGTTTTGTACTAACTATAGACGACCAACTGCTGCATCATTGAGGCACGTGCGAATGAACTGTGCTATTTTAATGAGCAGGAATTGATTGTGGGTAAGATGTCCTGTAACATGAAATTTAAAGTTCTTGTCAAAAAAATTTAACAGAGCATTTTCAATACAGCATTTCTAAGCATACTAATTTTTTTTTTTAATTGTTCTTGGAAAACATCAGTTTTATTTTCACACAATTACAACAACAAAAAATACCAGGGTGAATATTATTACCCCCCTGATAAACTGACCTTTTTATTGAGCCATAGAACAAACCACTGCTGTGCAATGATGTGATTGAACTTTGTAATGCTCAAAGCTTTTAAAATCAAGTTAAAACTTTCATTGTACTCGCAGTATAAAAACTTCAGCAAGGGTTTGAGTTGTCACTTGAGAAAGCACCTTGCCAAAAACAAAAGAAATCAGCTTAGACTTGAGAAAAAGAATTATTGATGCTCACAAAGGAGGAGATGGATATACAAAGTTATCACAGCATTTCCAAGTGCCAAAAACAGGAGTGAGAAGTATCATCACGAAAGTCAAAGACAGCCACAAAGTACAGAACAAGCCTGACAGAGGTAGGAGGCAAAATATTTCAAAGACTCTAGAATGAAAACTGGTGAAAGATGTGTCTAAAGACCCCAGAACAACTGCCAAGACTAGTGAATGACTTAGGCAAATCAGGGATTGTAGTCACAGAGAAGACAATCACTAGAACCCTTCACAGGAATAGACTGCAAGGCAGCAGACCAACAAAACTCCACTTCTGCACTTCAAGCCAGACTGAAATATGTTAACGATAACCCGGAGAAAGATTACGCTCACTGGAAGCGCGCCCTTTAGTCCGATGAGACGAAACTAGAGCTCTTATGTTTGGAGAAAGAAGGAAGAGGCTTAAGACCCTAGTAACACTGTCCCCACAGTGAAATATGGTGGTGGAAGTATTATGCTGTGGGGATGCTTCAGTGCATCTGGAACTGGGAATCTCATCAAGATGGAAGAAAACATAAAGAAAGAAGAAGATGTGGAGATTTGTAAAGGAAACTTCAAGCAGTCTGCAGAAAAATTGGGTCTGGTTCATCAGCCTTCATCTTCCAAGTTGTTTTTTCACAATTTAGGAATAATTTAATCAGAAATCAACATTATCTACCCAAAACATGCACCTGGTGAACTCCAAGGTGAATCCTACTGACAAAGTCCTGACTTGTATCCCACTGAAAATAGTTGAGGTAAACTGAAGACCAATGTCCATGCCAGAAGACCATCAAATCTGAAGAAGCTTGAGATATTGGCCAAAGAAAAATGGGTAGGGAAAGCTGATGATGGGCGACACTCGTTGAAGCAAAAAAGGATACACAATTGACTATTAACATCATCATTAGAAACCATTTTGTTTGTGTGAGGAAGTAAAATAATGTAAGCTGTCAAAATAAAAGTAGCATGTTTGGGAAAAGCTGGTTTAAATATTGCTTGCTTTTTTTAGTCTCTGGGAAGAAAATTAGCCCAACGTCATTTATTCCATGGCCCAGTTCTGATGCTCTTATGTTCACTGCAGGCATCGTTGGTGATGGACAACGAGAAGCATGGGTGGGCACTGTGACCACTCTGCGGATACACAGGTATCTGTGATCCTGTTGACATTCACCAGCCCTCCCACCTTGGCCCACTTATGGAAAAGAAAATAAAGAATTAAGGGGCAAGGGGAGTAGGGGTAATATTCCCAGAATAACTCAGATTTTAGATCTAGTTATAGATCTAAAATATATATAAAGTTATAAATTCACATGAAAGAAAATGCTCATACGTATTGATAAAAAACAACAGCTTTCTTAAGTTTTCTTAAAAGGGATTTTTGGTTAGATGTCTGATATAAAGTTTGTGGATAATAAAGGCTGCAGACATTTAAAGTTATTAAAAGCGTGACATTAAATGCATTAATGTCACGCCTTTTAGCCTAACATCAGTCTTTCATGTCTTGCGATTGCAGTTTATGCTTCAAAAAGATATTGGAGAAATTTGTGGAGTTCATCTTGCTGAACACAAAGTGTAAGTGTCAAAAACTTTACATCCCATAGGGCTTATTTCTGTAATAATCATAAGTTTATGGATAGTCAGTTGAGCCAAAGCAATGCCAGCCTCTGGGTTGGCCTGCAAAGAACATCATCTCTGCAGAACTCTGCCGCCATAACTGCCATCCACGTACAGAAGTGGATGACTTTATTCTAACTGTGTGTACGTACCTGTTCCCGAGTCTGATCTATGAAGGAGCTGCACTCCTCGAAGTAGGAAGTGATCTCGGTTTCTGGGAGGTCCAGGATCTGGAGCGTCTTATAGACCATCTTATCTGGGAACAGGTTATCGACTCCATATGCAACATTTAGCACATGAGATACCTGACAGAGGGGACATGGGGAAGAGGGAGTGGGTGCAGAGACATGAAACTCCTTGAGCAAATGACCCCTGAGCATTGACTTGCTTTAAAAGCTCTTTTTGCCTTGACAGAAGAGTAAGAGAGATATTCTGTCAGCCATATTGATGACATGACACAAGCTGAATGTGACTGAGAGAGGGCAGAGGCACAGGGAGAAAGAAGGAAAGGGGAGAGAGATGGAGAGGAAAGGGTGAGGAAAGCAAGAGGGAGCGAGTGTAGGCAGGGAAGAAGACAGATGGCTCCAATTCATTTTGCAGTATCTGTCTACTCTCACTTAAATTTAGCTTACCTCAGAGGGCTAAATTCTCTCCTCCGTTACATCTCAGCGTCGCACTAATGTGCTCTGCTTTTAGACTACTTGTATCATCTAACATCCTCTTCCGCGTTAAGAGACAAGTTAGGCGTTACACTATATTTTTTATTATTGACAACAAATCCCATTAAAGGCCAAAATCAACAGTGAAATGATCCTTCTCGGAAGTATTGTGTGTGTATCAAAGTCTGATAAATCTCATTCCAGTATGCCACAGAGCTATATTATTGCCTAAAAAGTATTAAAAACATATCAAACACACACAGTGTGGTTTATTTTCTGTCCTGCTGCTACAGTAAATACTTTCACACTTAATATATATAAATCTGTAGCTGTAAATAGTCCCAACAGATGTACTTATTCCTCCTATTTAAGTAATGTTGGCTAAAAGTGAAAGTGAGCCTCGTTTTAGAGAAGTTTTGAGTCTTGCCACACAAGGTAAAAAGAAACATTTTTACCTTGTTAATTGATTGAGCTTTTAAAATATCCCAGTATGTTCCGATTAGATAACAATAATTTTTTCATTATTACAGATATTCCTTGGTGGATAAAATGCACTTTTGACAAACCACAGTTAATGTAGTTGCTGCCTACAGTGGATTTTCAAAATAAAGAAAATGAAATACGGCACAATGATGATAAATAATAGAATTATGTCTGCATGCTAAATGTCTGGCTTTTGACATCCACGTGGGAGTTTTTTGTAGATGGAAAAGTGAATAGGAAGGCAAATGCAGTTAGACTTCAAGCAGTAGAAAATGTGCCTGCAATAAGCCAGACAACCAGAGAGTTGATCACTATCAAAACCATGACTACAGGAAACCAACCAAGCACCAGACGTCTACTGGGTGCTGTTTTCTTTGGCTAAACCTGCCTGGAGCAACTAGGCCTTTAAAAACACATTACATCAAAATATGACATTTTTAGAGTGTCTTTAGTTTTATTGATATTTGATCAACCCAGCATCTAGTACAGACAGACAAACTATTGAAGGATGGCAATAGTTTGACAAAACACGCTTCTGTCTTTTATATACATCAACGTGTGACTTAGGGTTCTAACTGGGTAATGGATGGCTTGCAAAGCTGCCTCCTGGCTAAAAGTAGGAATCTGTAGGTTGTTTCATGATTGTCCATAGGAGTTCTAAAAATAAGACTACTCTTCACCTTTCACTTTTTAACCAAATCTGCTTTCCAGTATATTCTTGCTGGGTTGGGAAATGGACGTTCTACTCTCTGTAGCATCATATCTATAATATGTCCGTTTTACAGTGAGTAGATCTGACATTCTGCCAGTCTCAATGTGAGATTTACCAACAAAATACTCCACTGCAGTGTTTAAAGGCATTGTTCTACTGGTAAGAGCAGGTTTTTATAAAGTGCCTTTGGGCAGGCTGTCAAATCTCCTGAGTTTAATAGCTATCTAAGAAAACCTGAATTTAGACAGCCAAGGTTTCATCCTAGAAACAGGAAGTGAAGGTATTCGTAATCTCTCCAATTCATCATCCTGAGAGTGCACAGGCAGCAATATGCCCATGCCTGGGAGCAGCCACTGCAGAGAAGGACTAGTCACATTTCACTGATGTGGAGGAGCAGCGCTGAGACTTACTGTAATCATTTACTCCCTCTACTGTGCTAAACTGTCACTGCATGAGTCATGAAGCTCCTCTGGCTATTCGCTGGCTGCTGCTGACCCACAGGAAAGCTCAGCTACATAGCTGCCTCTAATCTCATGTCACTACACATGCTATCACAACAAAGCAAGGGCATGCCCGCCCTATTGATCCCTCTGCACTGACCTTATATCTCTGCAGGGTGTCAATGTCGTGGGCTGCATCCTGAGAGCCTGAAAAGACAGAAACAACTCGATAAGAAGGCAGACAGATGGGGCATGCATCTGCCTACCAAGTGTGTTTAAATAAAGCTTCCTGTAGCATGATGATAATTCCTCAGCCGTAAAACTGCTTAAACCAATTTAATAATAGAAATATTTTCAGCACACTGTGTTTATTTACACCTCTGAGAAGTAAAATGTACCATTTGGTCATATTTCTTTACTGGGGTGCTGCTTTTTTGAGTAAAACTAGAATTTTCACAACTAAAAGCAATGCCAGACACTGTGACTGGATGATCTAAAGAAGTGACTTTGGGCTGTGGGGAAACAAGGCAAGGTATTTCCTGGCATTTAATAGATTACAGATGATCAAACAGACCAGGAAACAGCAACTATCTCATGAAAAGGACACCTTTGACCCTATCGATATGAGGATGTTTTAAAGCGGTGCCAAGTTTTGCAGGGAAAGCAAAAGCTGAAGGATATCAGCAACAATATCACTTCGTAAGAAAACATGCAGACACAAAACCCTTTTTGAACAGCCGCAGTACCAAGCGGGGAAGATATCAGTCAGCAAAAACCAAGAGCAAAACGGCTTAAAGCTACAGAAAAAATCTGGGATAGGAATCAGATGATTTGTGTATGTAGTCACACTCGACTAGGCTTAAAAACTGCTGAAATACAGTAGCTATTCAGAGTTATCTGTCACTGCAGAGAAGGAAGTGCATGATTCTTTTTGCGAGAAGAGACAATTTCATGACAATAAACCTTCATCAGCAAAATTTGAAAAGAAATAATGCAGCATAGAGTGCAGGTGGAAAACTGCATTATTATCATTACTATCATTATCATTATCATTATTATTATTATATACATATACATAAATTAGCAGATATATATTCCCTATCACTCTCCCACTCACAAACCCTTTTAATTGTTACTTTATTATAGCTGCTGCTCACTTGTCCCCACCTAAATCACCTTACTGTATCTAAAATAAATGGAACTGATCGTGCTCATCAACTGAACACAGAGAGGGACTGAGAACAAGTCAGGGTGGATCACAGGACATTTGAATATTTAGTCAGAAACAGAACACCGGTCAAGAAATCACTGCGTATATTTAAGCTTATAAGCAGCGCTGTGGAGTCATCCATATGGAGTTACATGCAAAATAACACAGTGAGCAAGGCTGATAATTGAAAAGCATTGAAACCCATTTTGCTAATTGGGAAACCAAATATTTAGATACTTTACATAAGTAAATGGAATACTACAAAAGTTTTGGCAATCACATACAATGTATGTACTGTGACTGTTTGCATTACTTTATTTGTATATCATGGTAATGGATTCATTAATGTGTATATTACTTTAATGTTGCAGTAGGAGATGATTTTAATTACTATGTATGTATATTAATTACTGTATATTGCCTGAAACTTTCAACTATAATAACAGAGAATTGTATAGCAGCAGATTTATAGTTTAAAATGAGCAAAATAGTAATTATTTAAAGCTTGAAAGTAATTGTATGAAGAACATAAACAGTATTTGCATCCAAAAACTGTTAAGTAGAATGACCTGGAAATACAAGTACTGTAAAGTAAATGTAGTCAGTTTACACGTCACTAGTGGCCCTATCTTTACCAGTGGTGATAGCACATGCATGTATGTGACATGTGGCCCACTTTGTGTTTGTGGTGGTGCTGCTTCCTTGTTCCTTTGCGTATGCCACAGGAAATACACACATTCATTTAAAGAATATTTTTGTAGTGCCATTTCTGAGTTTTGTAAATTGTCATGCATACATTTTTCATCATGGTCAGAGGAACTGTAGGAGAAGGGGCAGGTAGGATGTTCACAGAGCTGGAGGAAAGGGTAGTGATCAAGGCAGTGGCTTTACCCTTTCCAGGACAAGTCATTCTTTTAACCAGTGAACATTCCACTGACGTGCATAAGAAGGATGTGAGAATAACTGAAAGCAAATTACTCCAGGGTGAACTAAGACCAAAGCAAGAAAGAAATCACAACTAGCTTTCTAAAGCAAACCAAATCAGACAATCAGCATATGAGGGAAGCCTTTATGAGGAACACTTACAAAACCTGCTGAAGTGAAGGCAGTGAAAGAATTCTGTCCCTACTAAACTGACTCATTCCTCAGGGTCTGGTTTTGAAAGGGAGCAAACCCCCTGGGCCAGCCTCTTCCTATGGAGCTCTGAAGTTGATTCAAAAAGGACCAAAATCAGAGAGAATAAATTAAAATATCTCCACAGAAATGACAGCAAGTGGAAAATATGGTGTTAATCACACAGGGGTGATTTTAATAAAGATAATCTTTAATTAAAAAAAGATATTCCGCCGCCCTTGGCATTCTAGAGCTCCAGGCGGTGCCCTGTCCCTGCCTCTCTGCCAGTGGCAGGGACCAACACACTACTTACCCCGACTGATTTATTATCATTACTTGTAGCCGTGATGGAGGTGGTAAGAATGATTACTTTGGCATTTTTTCCACCACCTTCCCACCTCTTCTGATGCAACCCCCTGGTCAGACATTGTGGGACACAAGCAGGTATAGATATAATGATTCATTCTTGTTTGTTTTGTATTTGTTTTGTGTCTCTGCAATATCCTTGACCATGCTTATTGTTTTGCAGGCAATAAAGTAAAAAACAAAAAAGCAACAGCACTCCAGTTTCAACTGAGAAAGGAAATCACGCAGGGAGACAGTTAAAATGGAGCAATGATCTCTTTCCATTTGTCAAATAACTCCTCATGAAGACAGCAGTGGAAGTCTTGAGTAGCAGGAGCTGGGTAATTATGTGAGGGAGACATATGGGCAGGAAGCAGAATATGATGGAAGCACTTGCTCCAGACTTTCCAGGGTGGATTCTCAGCTTACTGTCTTCAAAGTAGCAACATTTGCACTCTTTGCATTAGCCAATCCACTTTTACGTAATGCCAAACTCATGGTGCTGAGATGCACATCTAAAGCCAAAGGATTGAGCGTGTGTTTGGAAATAAGCCTGCTCCGGCCCATATGTCTCATCAGTATAGAAGGAGACGATTTACACTGACACATCTGTGAAAGGATGCCAGGATTTTTAGAGCACTTTTTAAATAAGAGTCTGACAGGGGACCTTGTTCAGCGAGTCTGCTAAAGAAGAGTAGACAGATGTCTATCATATTTTTAGTGGTGTGTGGCAGATGTAATTAAAAAATCAATAGACTCAATGTGCTGGTGTTATTAAAGCAGAGGTAGACATGTTTTTAACTTATAATAAATTATTATTATTGCACAGTATAATAGCCAACTGAATATTAATGTGGTCAACAATTAGACTGGCTCTCACCGAGAAGAGGAAAGTACTTTTATTTCCTGTAGTTTTCCCCACGTAGCTGACATGGTGGAAAGTGGAAACAAAGTAACGGTGGATACAATCCGCCAAAAGAAAACGAGCTCTGTTGTTAAAAGGGAAGGCATAAGGTGAAGTGGTAGAGTCACAGAAACCAAAAGTAAAATAAAAGTGAGTATCAAATTAATGGAGAGAGCTCCCCAACATGAGAGGGTTCAAAAACAGCGTTTAGTTGTTACTGTTTCTGTTGTAACAATTACTGCACAGGGGATGAAGACACATTAAAGTTAGGCCCCAGTCATATAGCCTTAGAGGTAAGTTGAAAACCGCCAGTTGCGAGGTTAAAATGTGTAATGCACGATTATCTGCCAGCTGGTTTTTGGCCACTACTGCAAAATCAATCGCTAAAGCCTCATTTATGCAGACCTAGAGAGTTGTCTGTGAACCCAAAGCAACACAACATGCCACTGGCTAAAGAAACTCGAGAACAGATGAGAACCAAAGTGATCTATCAGTCTGGAACGGGTGACAAAGCCATCAAGGAGAAAACTGATGGTGAACCTTCCCAGGAGAAGTCGGCCTATGAAGATTACAACAAGAACGCACCCACAACTCATCCAGGAGGTCACAAAAGAGCCCAGACCTGCAATAAATGAAATCATCATTGAAAAAATGTATTTTGTATTTACTCGGGTTATCAGTGTCTAATATTAAAATTTGTTTAATGGCCTGAAACATTCTAGTGTGACAAATATGACAAAAAACAAGGAAGTCAGGAAGGAGAGAAATACTTTCTTTCATCACTGTACATTTCCCCCGTAGCAACTGAGGGTGCCAGAGCGTCACCAACTGGTCTCCAGGCCTGTGTGACTGAGGTTTTGCCACTTTCATTTTTTAGTTGGCAGACTTTGCCCCAAAACCTTTAAATTAAGTCGATACTTCTTCTATTGATTTTCACTGCATTTCCATTTAGTTATTTTTGTATATCATTATTACATGTTGCTGCTTATCAGTGAAAATTGTATCTGTGTTTTTAATTGGTGAGGGAGAATCCTCCCTTAAAGCGACATGTACCATGAAAAAAACTGCAGATCATCCCAATGAATACCCCGCACACACACAGAGAATAACTTCTCTGCTCTTGCCTGCAGATGTTGTTGTAGATGCATTTGAATCAATAATGGGAAAAAAAGAGTCCATTTTTATTCTAAAAATAATGAGAGTTGGAAAAAATGTGTCTTAATCGATTGCTATTTTTTATATTTTTATCTCCATCCTGTCTCTTAAAAACTAGAAGAGGAACAATCTTTGCCTCCATAGATCAGATGCACTACACACGGTCATTTTTAGGTCTCCAGATAAAGGAAGGGAATTTCTCCTACAGTATGTGTGTGAGGGATTTTTCTTGAAGACTTTTTTGGGCGTTTCTTTTCAAAAGATGTTCAAGGCCACGGCCAAAGGAAAATAATGTTAGTTTAAGCCAGTGGCTGTAATACTACTACTACTAATAAAAATGAGAATAATAAATTGCATTTATTGAATTATTTAAAGTAAAATATTCTGTTTCAAGATTCCAAAGTTGCTCATATGAGATACTTCCTATGTTTTATTACCTTCAGTCAAACACAAATCAGTTCAACATTGCATTTGCTTGAAAGATCAAAAATATTAAGCACCAGCACATAGCTAGACTGGAAACAGGGGGATGCCGTCAGCCTTTCTACACGTTAAAAATAGAAGCTCAACAAATTTTCTACAGCACTAGAGACATTTGGGTTAAATGAAAAACACGCAAACCTATAAGTTGGAACGCTTGGAAAGACTTTTAGTAGGTAGTTTATTTTAATTTTAGAATGTTGCCAGGCATACTATTATACTATGACTCTTCTTTGGCTATAGCTTCATATTAAATGCATCTAAAAGGGGGAACGAATGTCATTTCCATGACCTGACACTCTGCAAGAAATATAAAATCGTAAAACGTTTTTTTTGTTTACTTTTTTAACTGATATTGTGGAGATATAGGAGCTGGTTTAAATTGGATGATATCTATGTGTATGTCAAAATATAATAACTGTCAGTGGATTGTAGCCAGAGGACAGCAACACATAATAAATATTAGCAATATCACAGCATCATGCCAAAGACAACTGAGGGAGTCTGCACAAAGCCTTCAGAGAGGAACTCGCCTCCAGCCTGACAGAGCTGTACTGTACTCTATTTACAGAATATACAATGAAAATCTGTCACAAGAGCACTGAAAAAAACAGAGATACTCTCACAGGCAGTTACAAAAATATCAGAGAACTATTAACACATGCCCTATCATCCTGTACAGTGTGATAACAGGTTGATGTGACCACTGAGGTACTTTGGGGAATGAAAACAGGTTTTAATGTTTGAAGTGCATGGATCACTGTATGGAAGAGAGTCACCTCTGTTGAGCCAGACAGATGTAATATTTTATTGATCCCTGCTGAGAAACTCTCTCGTCGATTGTTTCTCGCAGTGAGGTCAAAGCGCAGCGTTAGTTACAGATGTGAACAGCACCTCAGAGCAGGGTGGGAATTCAATGTCAAGCTCAAGGACGCTTCAGGATGGATGCATGCTGACATGTGGAAAGCTGCATCCTCCAGCTAAACGGGCAAGTCAACATTTATCTTTGGACAAATTGAAAATTAACAACAATGATTTATCCATTATTAGGAATTAATAATGTTAAGTCATTGCCACAGTAACTGGATCTGCACAGAGACATTATAAGAGTCCTGAATTTAAATCTGTGGGAAGGTTCAGCAACAGTCAAGATGGTGGTAGAGGTAAAATGTCCATGTGGAAAAAAAAGCTTTTTAAAATCTTGTTTTGGGGCAAAATCATATCAACTTCTTATTTCTGTCCATGTTATACCATTTACTGTATATTGAATCCTGCTATGAAAAGCCTGTGTGCTGTCCAGTTGTATCACTGTGTGAAAAGCATGGCTAATATTCCAGTAAATGTACCATTAGAGAGTGGGTGACATGCATCCTGCATGCTCTGTCCAGGCAGCTTCTTCATGTAAAGTACACAGAGTACTTCCGGAAGTGCATATGCTTCTGAAGTGGACTATTTTCTCCCAAGTGTTAGATGTGACAAAGGAGAAGCGTGGAAAATATCTGCCGCTTATTCTCCTCAAATTGTTTGTTCACGTGTGAAAACTGAGGGACGCTGCATGCTCATACAATAACTTGTCAGTTACAACAGAGCCATGTGACTCAGAGTTATTCAACCCCGCTGCCCTAAAGAACGCTTTATATATATATAAATGTTTGCACAGCTGAAGGCCCTTACTATGCGCCTGTGATGGTTTTACTTTAACTATGTTGTTTTACACAGGTTAGCCTCACAGCAAGGAGGTCCTGGTTTGAATCCACCATCTGACCAGGGCCATTCTGTCTTGATTTTTTTAAGGCTTTAGCTTTGATAAGGCCAGTGAAGACTGACAGGAAAGTGGAGGGAAGAGAGAGGGGAAGACATGCGGCAAAGGGCCGCAGGTTGGACTCGAACCCGGGTCATCCACTCTCAGCCTTGTGGCATATGGTCGCCTGCTCGTTCCAGCGATCTCAACCGGCGCACCACACTAGACTCTTTTAAGACTCAGAAGCCAATAGGTGAAATCGACTGAGAAAACTGAGCAATTATGCTTGACAGGATATTGACTTACAAATCACAAGATAGCCACATACCCTGTTTTATCACTAATTTTACGCTAAACTGGATGACAATTTAGAAAATGACCATCATGCTCTGTTAAATGAGTCTTGAACCTGAGACCACAAACCCATCAGGAAAGGGTTTACTGAGCTTACAGAAAAAGTGAGAAGTAGGGCTGTTTTTCCATAGACTTCTAGACAACTTGAATTATTTTTGCCCCCTGCCAGCCATGAGAAAGAATACAGGTTTACAACACTTCTGCAGCTACTTTACTTGTTAGACCCAGATACTGTGTCAATTTCTGTTGAACCTATGCATATTCCCAGATTCACTGTTTTCTGTTGAGGGTTACTAAAATAGATTTGCATGCTTTAATATTCAAAATGCAAAACTGCTGACACTCTATGTGTAATCAGCAGACAGCGATGAGAGATTTCTGTGTTATGTTTTGTGAAAATATTGGTGCATATCAGACAATCTATATGCAGATATATACGTGTGATAGGCCAATAGGTCAACTGCTAATAATGCCCAACAGATATATCGATCTGGTTCTAGAATAGTGCAATCATGTGGTGGGATTAGCACTGAAAAAAAAAGCATTTGTAAGAATGGTGCTACAGAGATTACCCAGCAGGAGGAACGGTCTGATGACACCAACTTGGAGGTCCAGGCTGTTATCTTCTACAAATCCACACCCATTTCCATCCTCCAGCTCTTCAACCAGCTCCACATCTCCCTCTCCTCCATCACTCCTCCTCTCCAGCAGCTTTTTGCCTGTCACTGTGGTAACACGCGTGCACTGTTTCTTCAGTCGGTCTTTCGCGAAGCCGTGGATCTCCTGAGCCAGTGAATGCATCTCAACAAAGTTTACAAGACTGGCCTGAAACATGCAAACGTATATTTAGCTGAAGCATTAAGTTTGTAATTGATTTGTTAAGTATTGGTAATGTATAGTTACACAAACTGGGCTAAAACTGTGTATGCCACAAGAAATGTTAAACTGAAAAGGGAAGGCACTGATGTCTGTAACAAGTGAAGCTGATGTCCGAATGTAAACACATCACACGTTAGTTTCTCTACTTTTGTACTAACCTGGTTTAAATGGACTGGATTCAATCAAATTTCCGCAAAAGATTAGACCGCTGTTGCCTTAAAAGGGCTTTATGCCATCGCTGCAGTAGAATCTCACATTATCACAGCTTTATTGTTTTTAATACAAGATAAAAAAAAATTTAAAAAACGAAACAATCTGTGAGAAAGTGTAAGCTCCTGCGACTGACAGCTGAATCGGAAGCTACGTCACAATGTGATACGTTCAAATGCTCAAAATAAAATAGTAAATTTGTTAGATTTTTAAAGGCCCGGTTTGACTGCTAGAAAATTATACTTCTACTTAATATTTTTTTTTATCTCTGTTTATTGCATTTATTTTGATTTTGAACTATTTTTCATCTTATTTTTTTTGCCCTGTCATATTCTAGTTGGTTTTATTGAGTCATATACTCTTCTACTTATTTTTTAATAGCTGCAATGAGCAGAGGTAGTGATAGTGAAACCTGCTATGACATATGATTAGGAGATGATGGCACAAACAGAAAGGACAGGAGGTTGAGCTGGAGGTGGCAGAGTTGAAGATGCTAAGATTTTCATTGGGTGTGACCAGGATGATCAGGATTTTTTTATTTATTTTTTTTAAACGAGTACATCTCAGGGACAGCTCTGGTTGAAGGGTTTGGAGACAAAGTTAGAAAGGCAAGGATGAGATGGTTTTGATATGTACAGAGGAGGAGTAGTGGATATAATGGAAAAAGGATGTTGAAGATAAGATAAGAAGAAAAGGAAGAGCCCAGGGAAGGGAACATACAGACGGTTGATGTGACAGACCCCTATTCTACTTATTTAAACTACTTTGTTATGAGCTGTTAATGTTTAGGTGGTGTACCAAATGAATTTGCCAACTTCTGTTATAAAAACAAATCTTAGCATCATCTGGAAGTATACGCCAAGTCTTTAAAATAAAAAAAATTAACGAGGGTCCGTGAACGCAGCATTAGCCAGCCTCGTTGTGAAAACCAGGACAACTCCTCATCCAGGGAACGAAAAAAAAGAAAAGAAAAACAGGCAGGGAGACGGTGGGGTGGAGTACAGGAAGCTGGTTGAACATGGGCGAAATTTAATCTAATAACGACATAAATCATAGTTTCCATTTCTTCCCTATTTTTACGGAACAAGACTGCGGAGATTTGTGGAATTTTTACTGGATTGCTTTGGAGATTTAGGCGAACAGCGAGGAGAAGATGTCTCGGGGAGTGATCCAGCCCAGCCAGCAGAAACTGGCAGAAAAACTCACCATCCTCAACGACAGAGGCATCGGGATGCTGACCCGTGTTTACAATATTAAAAAGGTTCGCACACACACGCAAGGCTGTGCCCCCCATTGATCGCATACAAGTCTTTGAACAGATATATATATATTTTTTTTTACGGACATCCCAAATTAACATCAGGGAGATATATAGGATTAGCTAGCACTGATTGCTACTCTCACGGCATGAGCAGTTAGAAGACTTTTAGGTCTCATTTTAGACATTAGGCATTATTATTATTTTACTAACTGCGTATTTATGTGCGTCAAACGACACTTACGTTATCCCTTTGGTATCCCTGGAAGCAGGTTGTGGGCACAGCTAGCCACTAGCTGTCACGTTAGCTTGCGGTAAAGCTGGCCATTGGATTTACGACGTGAACTGATTTTCGGTTAGATTAATCAAAATGGGAGTTGATTGTAATGGGTAGCGCGATAAACAAAAAGAACCGAAACAGCCAAACAAGCCCCTTAAATCCCTGGGCCTGCGTTAGTGGTGGAAGCTAGCTGCCGTCGTTGGCCGCTATAATGGCGGCGGCTGCTAGTTAAGCTAACTGCTAATGAAGCTAGGAGTCGGGCGTCGTCTCCCCTCCACCAAGAGCTAAAACGCCAAACTCCAGCTGCAGGCAGCCTGTTAGTTCACCCCAGTCACTGACATATACATAACCGAACTCGATGCTTTTTTCAGACCTAGCTGGCAGGTACCTAGTTTAGCTGGGTACACTAATTGTGGAAAAAAATGAAGCGAAAGTAACGAGTAAAGTCGGTTAATTGGACGTTCGGTTGTTATTTTCAACTGATTACCGAACAAATATTTATGATACAACCAGAATCTAATTTTTTATATATATGCTGGCCAATGATAAACGAATGGTTTCATTTGCACCCTAGCTGTATCCAGCAGGCGTTTTGCTTGACTGCATAAATGCTATGCAGTTTGACATCTGTCCAATAAGCTTTTCATGGGTTAATGTTAATCTTTAAAGGCACGTAATGCAAAATTATGTATTTAAAATGAGCTAAAAAACACAAAGGTAAATAAAGCTATCAAGAGATCATTTAGAAACCATCAGCATGACTTCATGTCAAAAACGGCTGTGTGTTGTGATAGAGAGGTATCAGCTGAAACTAAGCTAGGGTAAAGCCTTACTTTCACATAATATCAGTTTTTACCTGGCATTTATTTAACCAGGCAAGTTATTAACATTTTTTCTTATTCATCTGGTTAAATGGCAGCTTGGAAAAAGTAAAGCCTCTTGAGGAAATTGGGGTCTGTATAGAGAAATTTCAGGGCTGCATTTTCCTGATCACCTTGAGAAAAGGGCTTTAGCCCTCTCCTGAAAGATAATTTATAAGGAGTTAGGGAAAGAGAAGAGAATCTGGCTGCGCTTATAAAATGTCCTTAATAACTTGATGTGGGCTGGTGTGGTGACAGTATAATATCCCAAAGATGAATTACAAGAACCTTATCTGAGATACTTTGCCCCCCTTTGCTTTTCAGTGTTCAATACATAGGAATAAATGGCTTATAGAGTGAAATGAAGTGTCTCATTGAGTTGACACTGCTGGAGAGATGGCCCAGTGTAACTCCTGCCTTTATTAAAGCTTTCTGAGCCTGAACCTTAAGAACCTTAAGGCTGAAAATGCAGTATTGGACAGAAATGATGCAAAAATGAATTATGGCAACCCTTCAGTTAACTGTAAAGATTTGAACATGCTAAAAATGCATAGAGCTCCTTGAAGCAGATTTTATCACAACAGCCTGCTTTTGATCATTTTCCTTGTTGGTATAACACGACTGATAACATATCAGGCGGTTATCAAATTAAAAGAAAAACAAACTTAATTAATGTTTACCCCATCAGCTTTGTTTCACAATCATAATGATTGATTGCTGGATAGTGCATTTCTATGAGTTATGGCATGGTATTATCTCTTTTCCTTTGATACAGGATGCTTTATCCTCTGCTAAAAGGAGGTGACAAGGGACATGCTGATCTCCTTTCCTTCATATTTAGAGGATCAGAATCTCACCAGCTCTTTTTATGGCTGTCATGCAGGTGCCTCCTGCTCACTTTGTGCAGTTACAAATTAAACTAAGCAAAACTGACATTTTTTGACCATAGCCTTAAAGTTTCATAGCAGAACACACCCAAAAGCATCAAAAACACACCCTACTTGCATGTTTGTGGTAAGTGCCCTAAGGCTATTACAGTTGACTACAAACACACTTAAAAACCAAGACTAGATCAGAAGTAAAAAACAAACAAACTGCATTTTAGTTAACTAATATAAAAAACGAGAAATCATTCTTTGATTGTTTTAAATTTTCCAAGGCAGAAATTATGAGGATGCTTTAGACTGGGATGTCTGTCGAATTATGAGCCATTAGTGTGCTGATGAATAAACATCAGCACACATAATAATTCAGTAAAATAAAAATAGATACAATAAAACTAGTAAACTCATGCGGAAGCTAAAGTGACGTGGTGGGAAAATAAATTCAGTGCCCACATTGATACTACATCTGCTTCTTATTGCAATAGGCTCAGTTATATAAGACACATTTACTAATGTTAACTGACTCTTGCTCAAGTTTTACACTAATGCTTTGTGTGTGTGGGAGGGAAAAAAAGAGTAGTGGGTCTGTTTGTGTGGGATGAGCCTTTGTTGCTTGAGTATGTATGATGAATAGAAAAAGAAGGAGCGAGTGAAAGAGGCCAGTCATATCTTAGCCAGTTTTAACAAGTGAAGAGTAGAGTGTTAAACTGTCTGAAAGCCCATACTGTTTCCCATGTGTAGTTTGGAGGTGTCTTTCTACAGCATTTAATTTTCAAAGCATTATTTTGTTTTGGTCTGAAGGCACCCTCATTGTGTAAAACACTCAGCTAAAATGCCACTGTAGTAATAAATTTGCTTTGAGCATGTCTGTTAAAGTTATAACACAGTATGAGCAGTCAGACACTAAGATTTTGCTGCTGATTACTCTTCTTAATACGCCCTTCCTTTCCTCCCTCCCTTCTTCCTTCCTTCCTTTTTTCTTTCTGTCTGTCCCATCATCTTCATATCTATCTATATTCAAACCTGCCCCACCATAAATCCTCTGAACATATCCACTCTGACCTGTTCATATGTTATTTTAATGCTTCATTTTACCTTGTAATATTAGAAAACGTCCTAGCATCCAGTATTAGCTGCATCCCAAAGCTAGGAATGAAAGAACTGGGGCAGAAATTTGTACCAAAATCCATGGGCTCAATCTTTTGATTTGGTTCTTTAATCCTGCAAACCCTATCAAAGTTTCCTATAATATTTAATCAGTGGAGATAATTGTGTTTGCTTTGTTGTTTGGTTTCTACCTTTGGGAGATAGTAATTCATCTAAGATCACAGCAATGTTCCTATCCATTTTAAGCATATTCACTCATCACACCATCGACTATCTGCAGAAACCCTAAAATCTCTTCCTTAATTAATCTTGGCTGAGCTGGCATTAAAGTTTTTCTTTGCTGTGCTTATCTTTCAGCCAGTAGACCTTCTAACATCATTTTACTTCTTCGGGGTATCTGTTCTTCTTAACCCCACTCACACTCAGCTAACCCTTCGTGCCCCTCACCCCAAAGCTAGTGTTAAGAATATTCAGTCAGTTTCCCACGAATGAATTAAGCTTAGTCCTAAAATAAGAGAAACATTCACTGAAGCATCGAAAAAACACATTTAGTCCAAGACTACAACTTAATCCATGTCTGAGGAACTTGAGTCAAAGGCCTTTAGTTTATTGTGACTAAAATCAAAACTGGCCAATATGTAAGAATGCAGTTGTGTTGCTGAAATGTATAGAAAAGTCCTTAAACTGCTTTTCAGATGTCATGTTTAAATTCAGGATGCACCAATCAGATATCTGGATCCTGTGCAGTTCTTTGTGCACGGAAGAAGCTAACATCTAAGCGCTTGGACAGGATCGATGCGTTGGCTTCTCTCTCATATTTACTTTTATTCAGGTACTCTTATTTACTTTCCTTTGATTATGTTCTGTCAGAGACATCAGGTAAGCTAGGAGCTGGAGGGTTGTTGGTTTCACTGTGGGCTGAAATCAGACTAGTACAAATAAATTAAACAGATAATGCTAATGTATTTATTTATTTATTTTAATTCTGTTGTATTCATCTTTGGCATGTAGTATAGTGAATTTGTCCTTTGATGTATTTGTTCTTTTTAGTCAAGTTAGAATGAAAGTTGTTTCATTAAACTTTGCTCATAAAATGATGGTTTTCAGTCATTTTCTCACAGTGAGACATTAACTCTGATATCAGATTGGTACTCTGTATTGGAAAACCTTTAAAGCCAAGGATTCCTCATCATGTTGGAAGTGGAAAAAGCTGGATTGGTGCATCCCTAGTTTAAAGTTCTTCAAAGGTCTCTTAAGTTATACCTACACATCTGTGACACCATCACAATTAAACAGCATCTCTGAAACGTTACTAATTTGGTGATTCTTGCAGTACTTTTGCTTTCAAGTTCAAGTTTCAAGTTTATTCATTTATATAGCACTTTTAAAAACAACAATTGTTGACCAAAGTTCTGTACAATAACATAGTCAAAACAGAAGATATACCAAAGTTTGATGAAATGAAGCAGTTTTTGGGAAGATAATCTGAAATAATTGTTCCTTTATGATTCAGGTTCATTTGGGGATATGGATATATTTTTCTTTTCTTTTTTTCTTTTTTTTTAAAAAATTGTATATTGGTAAAATATCAAATATTTGTAAATTTATTGAAAGTGTTATCACTTTTACCTTCCAGAAACTTAATGCCCCTTCTTCTGTCTTTTACCACCAGCCTTTTTTTCTTCCCCTGAGCTTCAAAACCTTTTTTCGGCATCACTCTGCATTCTGATCCACAAAATGTGGTTGCTTTCCTTTTGTTGCGGAGAAAATACTGAAAAGTATCGCCTGGCCATTAGCTTACCTATTGTATGGTGGCGCAGAGGGGACATTAACACATTAATGAATAACTGCTGGGGTGAAAATTTGCAGGTTGACATTTATTAAAGGGCACACCTGATTACCAGGGGCATTTTTACTCCTCATTTTTAATTTCAAGGCTACTTTATGAGATGGATAAGGCCCAAGACCTCCATAAATTTTACATGGTTTCAGTGGCATGTTGCCCCAAAGAAAATGCAGTGCAAAGTGAATTACATCAGAGTGCTGGCAAATTTAATATTTTTTAAAATTAATTCTGTTTGATTTGAAGATATAAAATCGGCTAGGGTGAGTTCGCCATTAAGGGAAGAGCCGGCAGTTTTTCAGGTGCTTCTTTTTGCTGACATGTGCTCAATAAGTGAAATTAGCTGTTTGATTTGGATGAAAAGCTGCTGACTTTCATCCCTTCATGGCATCACCTTCACGTCTGTCACCACAGACCTCAAATGCCTGGTGTCACTAAAATGTTTCCTGAGGGATTCCCCATTTCCTTTATGTAATAGATGCTACCGGAAATAAAATCTGAACTTGTGAAAACAGAGCCCAGTATTCATTTTAAGTTTGCTTATAGGGCCATGGCTTTGTAGCCAAGCTTTGATACATAAAGACAAAAACAAACAAATCATAAATCCTTAACATTTTTAATTGACTGGCTAACTGATCAATTGATTGACACCATGCAGTTGAATATACTGCATGGTGTGTGTGTAAGAAAAGACTCATAATATATATAGATTTAAAAGAAATGCCATATTTGGCAACATATTCATCATGAATAGAATTAAATACTAATTGAGCAGTGTATTTACTCTAAGCTTTAAACATGTGCAAAGATTAATTCCGAGTGTCTTGTCTTGTTGTTTTCTTGTTAACACTAAGAAAACAACAAACTTGTTTATAAATGTTTTATTAAAATTGTAATTGAAAAATGAGACCTGGGATCTTGGCATGGGCTTTGTATGGTGGTTGGTAGAGATGCCATAGATTATAGCTGCAGGAAAGCCAATAAAAAGTCAAAGTTAGTGAGTAGCATTAGTTAACATAGTGCATGTATTAAACAAATGACATGTATATAATGTAATGTGTTTAAAAAGTGTTGGAAGAAGGTTTGGAGCTGGTGCTATCATGGAAATATTTACAGAGCGTGTACTCAAATTTGGAAACTTCGTACAGAACCAAAGATTGCATATAGGCTAAGTTACACCCATACTTTCCCTATTACCCAGATAACATGATCAAAGGATGAACTGACATGATACAGATTTCACGTCTTAATTTATTGTGCACCAGTATCTTTCAGACAAGGACAAAACAGGCATTATACAGCTTTTCCTGGCTCAGATTTGGCCTTTGTGTTGTTATCTTATTTAACAGAATCAATTCCTTTAGCTGTAATTTGCATTATTTAAATGTGTTTCATGTGGAAATACTGTAACAGATATTTGTGCCTTTGAATGTTAAGTTAGCACATCAGTTGTCACAGATTGCTTGGAAATACTGGTGGAGAGGGGAGAAAAAAAAAAGGATACACTGCATTTAATGTGCATTTGTCAAATCCAGCCCCAGAACTGCTTAGTAGTTGTTGGAACTTGTTTGTTACAACTAACAAATATGTTTTCCTTATATTAATATATCTAAACCAGTTTGAACAAACTCACAGTTTCAGGTGTTTCAATTTTTTGTAGCTAAAACAGCACCAGAGCCATTGGTGTCCAGAAATAAGTGGATTGTCTCACACGTATCAGAGCACCACGGATGCAGTCAGAAAACACTGCATCGTCAGTTACTAAGCAACAGCCAGAACACGAATGTGGAGCAACATTATAAAACTGCAAGGCCCAACTTCAACTTCACACTTTTCTGTGCAAGACAAAAAGGCTTTCCATGCTCTTAAAATGGATGTTATTTTCAATGTGCTGAAGAGCGTAGGTAGAATTACTACACCTTGTGTTACTTTCAGACAGCGTGCGTTAAAATAAGTGTTAATGTGATAACATGTTGGCGCGGCATGATTTTTGTGTTTTTATGTGCTGTATTGAAACGAAATGCCAGAAGGGCTATCCTTAACAAACTCTCCAGCACGCAGGAAACACCTCAGCTGTTGTTTTTAAAACGTGTGTGTGTGTGTGTGTGTGTGTGTGTCTGACATGGAGAGAGCGTGAGTGAGTGTATGGACGAGTGATCCAGCAGTTTGCCTGGGTGGGCTCTTTGTTTTGATTTCTTCTCTTCTTCTCTCCGTTCCAATGCTTCCCCCCTCTCCTATGCAGCAAGGACAAGTTTGGAAGGTTTGCAAAATTTATCACCTTCCACTGATGAAACCCCTCCCCTTGTCACCCTTCCTCAACTCCTTTCTCTCCCTCCTCCCCCCTGTTCCCCGTCCTCCTCCTGGCTACCTGTACTGATCTGTTGGTCCTCTCCTTTGTGCCTCACTCCTCTTCATCTGTAGTGCTGAAAGTAAGGCTGGGCTCCATTCCCTGTCAATTTTACCAACCCACAATGTTAATTCATTGTGTTATTCATTTGCTTATGATAAAGCATTCAGACATCAACTACATTTTTTCCCCATAAAATAAAGCCTTTTAATTTTAGTTCACATAGACAGTCTTTGAAGCAGTCCCCAAACTAGATTTTTGTCGCTGGAAAAATAGTTAACAGGTGTTTAAATCTTCACCTATGGTGTGTAAAAGTCCAGTATACATGATAAAATAACAACATAGTCCTGTATTAAATTTAATAATACACACAGTGAAAACATTTCTTTAAAAAGGCTTAAAAATATACATTATGATGGGTCATGGATGTGTTTCATATGCAATAATAGTTGTGTATATAATGTGTCAGTAATAGTAGCTATATGTTTTTTTTTCTGTTTATTAATAGCAACAAATTGAGATTCATGCCAGTAGATAGGCGTGCCTTATTCTGTTTATTTGGTATAATTGTAGATGGCAATATCTTGAAAGTACCACCTAAAAAGGGTTAGGTGAAATATACTGTTTAGGACCAAAAAACCCTCTTCTATTATTGTTTTTCTTTCTTTCTAACTAAATGACTATTTAGATAATATATAATATAAAATAAAAATAAGATGTATATATAAAATAAAAAACAATAAAATATAAATATAATAATTTTTAAATCTTTGAATGGTAAACAATTAGCTATTGCCATCTTCCACAGTTCATAAAGACTGCTTACCAGCAGAAGTGCCCTCTGGAACCCCGTTTGTGCAGTGCACTTAGTACAGCATCGTTATATCAGTTTGATAGAAGGATATCATGGCAACCACTGGTCGCTAAGGAAAAATTATTCCCCAACCTGTTGGCAAATGGTTGCTGGCGGTTGTAAAGATGCTGCACTAAAACATTCACTAACTACTGGTTAAGCGGTAGTGAAAATTAGAAAAGTGCAATACAAACTGGAATGGGCCACCATTTACCTTCAAAGTAAAAGTTGCTTATTTTGAAACATGTTGGTTAAAGCGGTTACTTTGAAGGTGAATGTTCTCCAAGTTTTCTCAGACAAGTCTGCATCTTATATACAACCGCGACAGTCTGCCAGTAACCAGAGCAATCATAAGGAGGATTTTTATGCAGCACCATCTTCACGATTGATTTCACTTGCCAACCAGTCAAGAAATACACCTGATTTCCCTAACAACCAGTAGTTGCTGCCGACTTAGTGGCCTCAATTATTTCTTTTAATCTGTGTGATTCTGGGTGAAAGCTTCATAAATTTGGTGACTTTTTTAGAAGTCTAATTAATAATTGCATTACCCCAACATTTGCTTTTTTCAAATTTGGACTAGACATTAATTTTGCATTTTGATAAAGAACAAGCAAAATAAGGTTAACAAATGCAATAGTATTAGAAAAAAAGATTAACACTCATGCCAGCAGGCAGTAAACCAGTCATAGCAGGTTGGAGTAGTGCTTTAGTGGTTTCATATCACATGAGACCATCCATCCATTCTTTGGGGAACTTTCTGTTTCTTTTTTTTCCCCAGCAGTTAATCCCTCCTTGTGAAAATGAAGGCGCTCACACTGAGAGCAATAACAGACAAAAATGAAATCATCTCAGGGAGGAGGTAGTTTTCACAGATTCTGAAGGGTCACTCAGTAGGTGCCAAGCAGCGTTCAAATATTGCATCCAGTAATTAGCAACTGTAATTAGTCCTCAGATGTGTGCTTCCTTGGCCCGCTCCTAAGTATCCCATGGTCCCCTGCCATATGTCGGTCAGTGTGGGGACCCGTTGAGAAGCTCAGCTGTTTAATTGCTGCCCGGAGTGGAGAAACGATGGTGGAGGCGAGACTGAGGTCTGTTCTGGTATCCAGGCAACAGCTCCCTTACTCCTTCCTGACCACTACTGATTCTCAGCTTATTCCCATGCCCTGTCCCTTCATTCACTGCGCCCCTCCTTCCATCCATATCGCCATCAGCCCCCACCCCACCCCACCCAAACCCAGCCAACCAGCTTATTGCACTAGCCACCACCAGCACTAACAGACAGTCCCATGCCATATGAACTCTGTCAAATTTTAACTAGTATTCATGTCTTTGATCTGTGATGCTAAGATGTTAGTTATCCAATTATGGTCTGTTCTTCTGAAAATAAAATGGTCAATAATACCCAAAGAGTTATCCTAACTGAACCCAAATAAGAAAAAATTCAAGAAAATTAAAGAAATCTCTTTAATATACTATTATACAATTTGAAAAATAATCAGAATTGGGGTTTTGCATGTTTTAGCCCATTAATTGCAACTCACTCGACTTGATATTAGTGCAAAACTATCATTCAAGTAATAGGAGTTTGTATGAAATTTTTCAGTGTGTGTTTCCTCCCTATTTTAGAGCTGTCGAAGGGTTGTGGAAATGTTTTTTGTTTTTTTGATTAATATTTAACTTTAGAGAATCAGTAGAAATGCTATATAGAATCACATGTATGAGCTCTGAAGGTGAAAAGTCAAACCGGAAGCACATAATTAAATTAAGTATATTTTTTTTATTGTGTGTTTAAAAACTTAGCAGTATGTCGCTAACAGACTGGCTGAATATCCATATCAGGCAGCATTGGTCCTGTTGATTGATAAAGTGGCATTTAAACACACTGGGGACTGATGTTTGTCTGTTGTGTCAAATTACTTTTGTGTGCTAAACATTCAAAATTGTGACTTTAAAAATACACAGGCTATCACTAAATGCATAAATAATACATAATTACACACATAATTCTTCTAATAACTGTTACACTCAGTTTAAAACTGTTGAAGTTGCTGACTATGTAGAGTTGTTAATGTAATTTACAACAACTATAAATGAATTGTCTTATGCTTTGAATTTGGGCTAAAACATGATAAAACACTGCGTTTAGCATATCAATGTGATGTAGTAACTGAACAATGTCTTTTCTGCAGTTCCCCGGTGTGAGTCAGAGGGTAACTACATTACAGTTGCAGACATAGTGACTAGTCTGTTGTTGGGTGAACCTAGTGGTGCTGTCACCAGATGAGTGCTGTGTTAGCAAAGTCAGGCTTGTGCTTTTTGCAGTTGCATGGATTTAACAGTCACATCTTGGTTCCTTGTTCTTAACCTAGTTAAAATTCAGCCTGCCTCTCGTACACTTGAGCAGATTTTCACTTAGCCTTTGAACATTGTCTGGCTGCTGTCTGACCTGGTGTGAGAGAGGTGGGCATAAGGAAACAAGCTGAGACTCTAGGTCCATTCTGTCATTGATGGGTCTTGAAACCTTGTTGGTGTTGTGTGTTTGTGTCCAATCCCTTCATAGTGTCCACATGTGTTATGTGTTTCAGATCCAGCAGTAGTGAGTGCGTTTCAGCTATAGAACTGTAAGAACTAAGCATGCAGAGCAGAACTGGGTTTTGGCTTTGTCTCTAGCAAAATGCATATACTGTAGTTGATTATGCTCGCTGGGTAGACTGGATTTTCTTTTTCATGTCATAGTTTTAGGGAATTAAAATTGTGTCTGCACCATTCTGCATTCCAAGTTGAATTTTAGCAGATACATTATGGTAGCAGCTGCTTATCACTGTTTCCTCTTTAACCGGGGTTAAACCAGCCACAAGCTTTGACATGATTCTATAGTAGCTATTGCCATTTTTTTTTTAATTTAAAGCGTGATTAAACTTTAAATCCTAAAAGAGAGGGCACTAATTGCCATTGTTTAAAGGCTTCAGAGTCTTAAGGCCAAACCCATTGTCAGTGATGCGGTATATTACAACACAGTTTTAAATGGAGCTACTGCTCACTGTCTTGTGGGAGTGTCAACAAAACCTGAATCTCCAGCCTGCATTTCATCATGTTTTGATACCGAGGTTGTCAGTGTGAATTAGCATGTGTTGTTGTGTTGCGGGTTCATTTTGTACTGGCTGATGCTGGAAACCTTTCAGCGCCATGCAAACTGAAATCCAGGTTTTATGCTTGTGTTGCTGTTTGCAGGCCTGATGGGCCACTAGCTATGATTTGTTCCTGCAGTGTAGAAAACAGTTCATTTATAGTACAGCTAAGTGTTGCAGTTCTCATTATGGTAACTTCATGTTACTTTTTCTGGCCTTTCTAAATGTGTACTTCCACTTTCTAAACTTGAACATTAACCACGAGGAAGTGAATCCTCAGAACAAAGGGTCTGACCTCTTCTAGGATTGTTCCTCGGTGTTGGCAGCCAATAAACTTTACACATTCACTCTGTTTATGGCACATGCATGGACCACATCTTCCTCACCATTTGCTACTACACTACCCATAATGCATGAGAGCTGTTGCTTCCTGCCAGGCAGTCAGGGCAGACAATTCAACACCTGCAGAGTAAAAGATTAGAATATGAATAAGCAGAAATGTGCAGGTGCAGTGAATTAATTCTGCTCATGTAGGATAGAAAACACTCAACTAAGAAAAGGCTTTCTCTCTGACCACTTATCTCTATCTCTCTCTCGTTCTGTGCCCTACTTTGCCATTTCTCACTTGAAGCCTCCATGTGCCTTTAATTTCTCCCTCCTTCCCATTTTCTACCTATTTTTCTTTCTCTCTCCTGTTTCATTCCCTCTACCTGCTCGTTGCTCTTCCCGTCATGTAGTGGTGTTACTAACCACTCAGAGACACAGTTTGACACTGAAACCATTATAACCTGGGACTCTCAGTGGTTCTCAGCCTCATTTGTGTTGTTGACAACAAAGCTAAACTTTCAGGATTAATTGTTTGTAAACCATCACTAAACAATATTTAACAAAAGTCTTAAAAACTAGTAATTTAACCAAATTGTAATTTCCTAAGGAACCGCCACCAATTGCTTTCTGAAATAGTTAATCACTCATTAAAATACTGTGGTTTGTCTTGAAGGAGGCTTTAGAGGGCTGTTTAATTCATCAAATATTCATTTCAGTTAAAGTTTTAGCTTCAAAAACTATTAAAACAAGATAGATGATTATTATGCCGCATTCTGTTTTGCATCAATGCTTTTGTTTTGTGTTTCAGCCCACCAAATTTACTTTTGTCACTCCAACAAGCTCAAATTGACTCCCTGCCAGGCATTCAGCTCTTTCCTTCTTATTTATTTTCATTGGAATTAGAATTAAATTTCAAGGAAGTTCACTCAGAGGAAGTTTAAAACGTCTGTTTAGGTAAACGTCTTGAGTAATCATGTGGAATAATAATAATCTCGTTACTGATCATAATAACACAATAATGCAGATTTTAACTGTAACCAACCATGGTATTTATTATTATAATTTTTTTTCATGAAAATGCATAAATAATTAGGTCATAATGTGTAAAAGTAATCTGTAAGTCAAAATCCCCACTTCATACCTTTCATATGATGTCATAGAATGGACCCCTAATATCTTCAGTCATAAGTTGTCATATTTAACTCAAGACAGAATTATTTTTCTAGACTTAAGTCTGGTTGTCATTTAGTTATCAGTGAGGAAAAACATGACATGAGGTTCATAAAGCCTGGTGAATTATGCTACCACCACCCTGACTGCCGAGTTATATGTAATTTCATATGTACTAAAACAGATATTAAAATATTACCAGTTGGTACATATTATCAGTTTTAATACCAGAACTAAAATAACCATGAACTAAATTTCACTTAAAATTCTGTCAGTTATTGGTTATAGGGTTATTATTCACAAAAAGCAACTGTCTAATCAGTAGAAATGAGCAATTTTAAGTATTTATTCTATTTAAAATCTCTAATCTCTACAGCTCAGCAGCTGAGAACCACTGATAAGTTCAGGCTCTTGCTCAGTTGAACCTGGTTTATCCAAACATGAAAACCGCAGACTTCCAAACTTTGTTCAGCCTGGTGGAAATCTACCCTATCAATCCTTTTTTTGGCATGTGCATCTTAATGGAAAATAAGACTGCACATGCCAACATGCCACTGCATCAAGTTTGTGTGTGTGTTCGTTTTCATGTCTTAAATATGCCTCTGGTTTGGAAACACCACTGAATATATGCAGTGCTGATATTTCATTCACTCAAACGCCTCTTCTGATATCAGTCCTGGGATAAACCAGGTTTCACTATGAGCACTAAATCCAACCCCAGTAAATACAACAAATTTAACATGCCATACTATGAGAAAGTGAGAAAAGGGTAAAAAAGCCAGATGTTTCATTAGCAGCACTGTACTTGTCATATTTTTTTCCTCTCTCCTCACGTCCTCTTCTCTTTTCCTCCACAGGCATGTGGCGATCCCAAGGCTAAGCCCTCCTATCTCGTCGATAAGAACTTGGAGTCTGCGGTTAAATTTATTGTCAGGAAGTTTCCTGCAGTGGAGACGCGGAATAACAACGTGAGTATTCCTACGTATACGTCTATTATGCAAAGAGAAGTGGAAGGAAAAAGTGTCTTTTTAGCAGGATAGATGATTTGATTTGTCTTTGTTACTACACACTTTGAATCAAGGGTGCAGCTCTATTTTTATGCTCTCCATATCTTCTGATTGTTGCATTTATAATTTGCTATCTTATTGAAAATAAATAAATAAATAAAAAAGCTCCTGCACTACAAATATAGGGCAGAAATACACCCAGACACTGAACAGCATGTAAAAGCAGCTGCTAATCAGTTGAGATATAAAAAAAATAAAGTAAAATTTGTATTAGAAGTATTAGTTTACAAACGAAATACTTTGAAACATGACACGTATTTTTGCTAATTTAATTCTATATAATGTTTAGCGAGATATTCACTTGCATTACTAACTTGTTTATATAAACTCTGTCTGGCAATTGCCAAATGATGTTGTTTCTGAATGTGATTTATACTTTTCTTTTTTCTTTTTTTTATTGGACTTGTTTATTTGTTTTTTCATTAAGCTTACTTCCCACTCAGATAGCTACATCACTCTGATTTGGTGCTTCAGTAAATGTTAAGCCCATTTTTAGGTGCCTAGCAGTCAGTGTGGGAGATTCCTGTAAGGTAACAAACCATTGTCCTCCCTGACACTATGTGTCAGGCAAATTACTCTTCCATTTATTAATTAAGCCCGCGTGCACTTTAATCTTGCATTGGATTGCTCAGCTAGCCCCAAAAAACTGCTGGAGTATTGTTGACTGCCCGTGAATCGAGTAGGGTTTCCATGTGGCTGGTTGATCTGGTTGTTTGGTTGGCTGCCTTTGTTTGTTTCCTTGCTTTTGGAAGCTTTGATCTTTTGTTGAAGATCTGAGGATTTATTTATTTAAGTTTTTCTCTATTAGAGGGTGCCTGATAATTTTACAATATTACAAAATTTTACAAAAGACATCCCCACTTTTCCTCGGGTGGCCCTAATCCTCTTCCATAGTCATGTGACCATGTAATGCAATTTGAGTTGGGTTTAATTCTAAAAAGAAATGGGTCAACATAGCTGAGAAGATGGTTTCCCACAGGTTTAGTTTTGTGTGTGTGCTTGTGTGTGCACATTTTCTTAAAAGACTTATTTGGTGACAAAGAAACTGAGAAATATAATCAGCTACCTCACGATTATCACAGCTTTCTCCAGAGCATAGAAAAGACTTCCATCATTGGTTCCAGCTCAAACAGCAAGTTCAGTTCGTCCGATGGCGAGACTCTAACCTTTCTACAGAGGCAGCCAAGTTAAATTAAAGACGGCGGCCCAGCCAGGGAATCAAAATAATGAGTAGAGTAGGGCAGTGACTAAACTTTCAAAATAAGAGCAAGGGGAATAACTGCTGATTACCGAGGACTTTGTTCTTTCAGACAAGTTAAAAAAAAATTGAAATAAAAATGAGACAGAATATGCATGAGGATCTGTTCATTTCCAGTGGTGGCTGGAAATAGGCTGGCCAGGTAAAGACTACACTGGTGTGATGGCGTTGGGTATCCAGCATCTCTTACACCTTTGTCAGGTGTGCGTGTGTGTGTGTGTGTGCGCATGTGTGTCAAGTGAACTAAAGTCATTGCTCATCAGATTTTTCTTTTTAGCTTTACTTGTTAGCATATGGCGTTTGTGTCAGAGCACCATTTAGCAAAAAGCTGTTTGTGTGTGTGTGTGTGTGTGTGTGTGCGTGCGCGTATGTGTGTTTATACTGTGTGTGTAGCTAACTGCTTTATTCAGTATAACTGTGCTTAAAAATGTGTCTCTTATGTTGTTTTTCTGCTTTGTTTCTGTGTTTGTTTGTGTTCTGCATGCTAAACTTGGCTTAATCCGGACTTGTGCTTTTTGGTAAGTTTTTGTATCTAAGTTTCTGTAACTTTTTGAGTTTAATTTAAGCACTTAAGTTTTGTAATATTATGTATTTTTATTTGTACCTGTGTTTGTTTTTGCAGGGGGGGGATTTATTTATTTATTTTGGTTTTGTTTCTTTTTGGTTTTTTTAAAGCTCTTTTGGAGTGTGTTTTGCTTTGCTCAGCTTTCTCTGGCAGCATTTTTATTTTCTCTTCTTCATCCTGTGAATGACTGCGTGGCTAGTTACCCACCTGGCTAGTTGGTTAGGTTTGCTTGATGACTGATCAGCTGGTGTTTGAATGACTTGCTGACTGCATGCAATAAGGAGTGTCACTCAGCAGGTAATCGAAATTGTGCAAGAAAAACTGTTTTGTTATTTGGTTTTTTTTTAGGAATTAAAAAATAAACAGTGATTGTTCCACTTTTAGTTGACTTGAGCCAAATACCAGATGTTTGAACTCCTTGTTGCAGCAGCAGTGTTTCACGCTTCCTACACTTGTCATGTTTTGACCTTTTTCCACCTTTGCCTATTAGGCCAGTTTAGGGTGGGTTTAGGGTGCGGTTCTGACCTCAGATTGCTCTGGAGCTGGGTTCAATTTACATACAGTATGCTTCAGTCATTTCTAGCATGTTAATACACTGCTTCTCAGGTGCTGAAGTCAGATACTTCATGTTGATTTTTAGACTTTAAAAGATTGATGCAGCAATCTTTTAAAGGTAAACTGGGATCTGAAAACACTTTGTATCCACAGCTAAAGACTCGTATTGACAGTGTTTTATTTTTTGAGGTGCTGTTGGGTTAATGGTTTCTGCTTTGCTTATATAGGCAGATTTTACTTTGGTGAAACATTTCATTACAGCTTCTGGAAAACCGCCACACGGAAAACGAGTTATTCAAAACTTTATTTAACATACAACAAGGTGCAAAAGAAGAAAATTGATAACCAAGTTCTCCTGTATGCAAAGTGTTCCAGAAAATCATTAAATGAAATAAGTTCTTCACCAAAGTAAAATAACTTTCATGTATCTACATGGAATAGAAAGTCATTTTTTAAAATTGTCTTAAGAATAGTTTAGCTCCAATAACTGAATTATTTAGCAGCTGTGTGTGGTTTCTGCCGCTTTGCTGTTGATTAAGTTTCAATTAATTAACTTCAAAATGAAGAAACTCAAGACCTGATGATCTCTGCGGATCCCTGAAGGGAAACCTGATAATTACATCTTTTTAGCTGGGTGGGATAGGAACATGCAGATATTTCTCTTCAGAGTTAATAAAAATCAAATTGTCAAAGAAACATATTTCCAGAGTTAAATAGAACTTAACCAGAGTTTCTTTTTTATTTAAAAGATGATTTTGATGATTCATTTAAGAAATGTCCAAAGTCAGTCCCATCTTTTAATCATACCAGCTGTAAAAGAGTAAACGGTCCTGAGTTGCTGTATGACGTTTCTCTGTGACTACTCTGAAGGGAACACAGTGAAAGCAGTACTTAGTTACTGGAAAACCTAAGCCTCAGGTTCACGCAGCACTTCTAAAATTCACAACTTTGTGTTCTTTGCCATGTGGTTTTATAGCAACAGCTGGCCCAGCTGCAGAAGGAGAAGTCAGAGATTCTGAAGAACCTGGCTCTCTATTATTTTACCTTCGTCGATGTCATGGAATTCAAGGTGGGGAAAAACACACAGTGGCACTCAGGTGAAGCACACGAGGATGTGTTTCTTTTACTTTGGTGGTTCTAATGAAAACATTTCTCTTCGCTCTATTAATAGGATCATGTGTGTGAGCTGCTGAACACCATCGATGCCTGCCAGGTCTTCTTTGACATTGTAAGCAAATATATTTTATTTATCTTTTTTAAAGAATGTGTATCACATGTAACAGGACAATGTTTTAACGCTTCAGAAAACATAGAAAGAAGCCTAAAAAAGGAAGAATTACCCACCAGAACCTGCAAAGTTCTGTTGTGGGTCAAAGACTCCCTTTTCCTAGAGACTGAAAACGAGGCCCAAAGGAGGAGCAAGAGTCTAGATCCCACTCAGAAGTCTTGAACTACAATAAGCTGTAAAGTTATTGAAGATTTTTTTTTTCCCCCCCTGACGACTTTTAGACTTAATCCTTTCTTTTATTAGAACCATTAAGTGAGATCTTTCTCCTGTGCTTACCTCATCATGTTTCAGAACCGAAGAATCCTAAAGAGATTCTCTCCTCCCCTTTCTTTCCTCTATTTTTTTCATCCTTCCTCATTCCCTGAGCATTCCAGAGCCACAGAAGTATTTATGAACATGTTTTACCTCCAGCAAGGAAGTTAAATGGTTGGTTCAGTTTTTCCGTTTGCATGAAAATGTTACCACAGGGTGGGTTTAGTCTGGGACAAATCCTGGGAGTTAACCTGCACTGAAGTTTAGGATCTTTGAAAAGGATTCTTTACCTTTGTGAATTAGAGCATAATTGCACATTTTGTGTCATACTTTAAAAGATACGCCAAAGTGATAGAATTTGGAAGGTATCATCTTGATGTCCTTGAAAATATTACAGACTAAACTGGATCCAGATCACCTCCGCATGTATAAACTCAATTTATACATATTTCAGAGCAGGAGTGGGTAATTAAAATTCCCCAGGGCCTGTTGGGGCTGTTGTGGGGCTACTCCAGTAAGCTGAACTCAATTCTGCTCAATTTTATCTCTTTAAAAACTTATTGGTGGTGTTCTCCACAACAGTCCCAGTATCTCATATGGCCTCTTGGGAACATTAATTGCCTGCCCCTCCTTTAGAGGAAGTGTTCAGCCTTGATGGAGGTATATAGTCTCTTGTTTCTGTGTAATCGCTGCCTTTCTTGTTGTTTGCTTCATGTAATGACACACCTGTGTTCCCCCATCAGACGGTGAATTTTGACCTGACTAAGAACTACCTGGATCTGGTGGTAACATACACTACTCTGATGATAATACTTTCTCGCATAGAGGAGAGGAAAGCCATCATAGGGCTTTACAACTATGCCCATGAGATGACGCATGGAGCCAGGTAACTGAGAGTTAGATTGATGTGAGAGGTTTGCACACTATTACAGACATCATAGCAGCATAAACTGTTAGTAGAAACAGTTACTTAGACACTACGTCACTACCTCTGTGTGTTGCTGCAGTGACCGGGAGTACCCCAGGTTGGGCCAAATGATTGTGGATTATGAGAACCCTTTGAAGAAGATGATGGAGGAGTTTGTTCCACATGGAAAGGTGGGAGAATTGTTTGTGCATTGTGAAATGTAGGTTTTTAACATTGTACAAATGCAAGATAGTTGATGCAGAGAGCTTTTGGTTTGCAACATCTATACTAAAACTAGGAAAAAGGTTTCTGTAAAGGAATCCGTCTGTTCTGTTCATCCATGTAGATCACTTGTGTATACACCTGTAGCTGTACTGAATAAAAATGTGATGTCAGTACTGATCAAAATAATCACTGGTTTGATTTTCCTTGATCAATAGCCCTGGTATATGCACCATGATCTACAGTGTTTACAGATACTTCTGCTTTTATTGGTTAGTGTTGTTTTTGAATGAGGTTCAGTTGTCATAGCATTTCAAATGCCTCACTGAGCTTATGTGGCATATTGTCCACAAACACACAGACTTCTACTTTTCAAATCATGCATGACTGACTAAATCTACGTTGTGACTTCCGTCATAACTGGAAACTCGGTTTTTGCCCTACTCTGTAACATTTTCCGTAACCTGACATGCGCCTCATGTTGGGTCGACACAGCTCGCAGCAACTTGAATGGTGTAGAAGGTTACAGCATAGGGTTGGGGAGAGTTTCCGGTTTCGATAAAAAATGAGGACATTTATTTCCTGCAGAAGTCTAAATCGGGCTTGATTCTTCAAATACACTTAATTGAAAACGAAGAGGATGGTTTAACAACTTTCATGACTTTAACAACACTATAAAGGGTTTTGGGTTTGTTTGTTTTTTCAAGTTTGCGTACAGTGGCTCTGAAATTGCTGCTTATTTAGTTTCAAAAGTCAGTTTTATACCGGAAGAATTTAGTCCTGTCTCTCCTCCTGCAGTCCCTGTCAGATGCGTTGGTCAGCCTTCAGATGGTCTATCCCAGGAGGAATCTGTCAGCTGACCAGTGGAGGAACGCCCAGCTGCTTTCTCTCATCTCTGCTCCCTCCACAATGCTCAATCCTGCTCAGTCCGACACTGTTAGTATCCCGATTGACTGTCTTAAAATAATCTGTATGATCTGAATGATCATTTAAAGCTTCTCAATAATCTATTAACCTGTTCTGTGCAGGCTTTTGATGTCAGAGCTTCTTTGTGCCAAGTGATACAACTGGAAAAACTGAATTCAACTGTGTCTTTGTCTTTAGATGCCCTGTGAATACCTGTCACTGGACACAATGGAAAAGTGGATTGTTTGTAAGTAGTGTAGAAGCAGAGTCGAATCTAGTGCTCTGATCATGTGAATTGGGTGCCAGATGATCAAAAGGCTTCAGTCTGCAGTTAGCTCTGTATTTCTCTCCGTTCTCTCTGCAGTTGGTTTCATCCTGTGTCATGTGGCGCTGAATAGCGACGCAGCAGCGCTGTCTTTGTGGAAGTTGGCTCTGCAGAGCTCCACCTGTCTCTGTCTGTTCAGGGATGAAGTTTTCCACATCCACAAGGCTGCTGAGGACCTTTTTGTGAACATCAGAGGGTATGAGAATGTGTCTATGTGGACACAGGCAGGCGCTCTTTCACTGGTGCACAATCACACAAACTGTGATCATGTCTCCTTTTTTTTTACTTTGATATGATTGTTGAATATCTTTGTGGTTTGAATTTTTATTGAGGAATTTGAAGATTTGATTGTCATTTTCTGTTCCAGTTTTCCCATTTTGCTCTTTTTAAAGCATCCTTTCCTCTTGTGTGTTTTGCAGGTACAACAAACGCATCAATGACATCAGGGAGTGCAAAGAACAGGCCCTGTCTCATGCGTATGTATAACCTTGTTTCATACTATCTCATGCAAACATAAAATACACTCACATTTTATTTTATTTTTTTTCTAATGCCCCCATTTTCTATATTATTAATTTATATTCCTGGTCTTTTATTTAAAGATTTTAACTGTCATTTTAGCATATGCTTCTACCCTCTCTCGGGAAGCTTCACTGTGAAACATCACCCTTTTCTCTGTATCCTTTTTCATGTTTTCCTCCTGTTTTATCCTCTATTCGTCGTCTTCCCCCCATGCCTCATCTCTGCTTTTATCCTCATTACTTATTCCGTCTTCCCCTTTCATCTTTATTCTTCTGCTGTCACTGTCATCTACTTACTTTTTGTCCTCCTGCGGGATTGTCCTAAAAGTGTCAGAATACCATTTAATCACATTGCCTTGTATGTTTTGATGCACTGCTCTGACTTCCTCGGTCTCTCTGGCTGCCTACAGAGGCTCCATGCACAGAGAGAGGCGCAAGTTCCTCAGATCAGCTCTGAAAGAGCTGGCCACTGTTTTAGCTGACCAACCTGGACTGCTTGGTCCAAAGGTAATATAAAAAAACCCTGCAAATAACACTCTGTTCAGTTGTAATCATAGACTTTCTGTTTCTTCCTGTTTCAGGTTTAAACCTTCTTTCTTTCAGCAGGACATAACTTTGTTTTTGTTACAAAAACAAGTTGGGTTTTATGCAAGTCCAGGGGGAAATATCCTCTAATTCATTTGATCTATGACCTTATCGCTGGTGTTTATTGTCTCAATCTCTATTTTCAAGTTGTGTATATACAACATGATCTTTATATTTTAAATCATGGTCCATATTACTGTCATGACTGATTATAAGGCAGGACATGATTAAGGCCAGGCCTGCCTTATGGTTTGTGTTGAACTTCAGTTTCACAATCAGATCTGCCCAGTTTCCAGTGAGGCTTCAAAAACACTAAGCTGCCGAACACATTCAGCTCAAAACTTCAAAAAGTGGTCTTTGCAAAACAATGGTTCATTTCACAGTGGCTCACATAACTTGAAAACAACATGTCAAATGAAAGCGGCTGCAACCTGATGAATTATAAAAAGCTGCCTTAAATACTACAGTATCACCTGTTTAGGTGCTTTTTGTTGCTCGGGATGTTTGCTATTGTTTAAATTGACCAAAACCCATTAGATAGACCTAAACTAATTTCAAATTCATTTATTTTAAGTAATTAATTTAACCAGATCTTGTGTACAGAGCCTGGGAGGGAGCTCAGGCAAGCTACAAAGCCACCCTCATTCAGCCATTTTAATGTTCTCTACAGAGCAGGTTGGCGTTTACAGAGATCAATGCAATTCTACAAGTTGCTTTGCCATCATCCTTTCCATGCTCATAGACTTTAGTGCTATCATTCCTGCTGCCATTGATGTTTATAGTTCTGTACAGGGTGGTTTTCCTGTTGCTTTACCTTTCTTCAGCTTTTCATGTATGTGCGTGGGAGAGCACACAGATCCCAGAACAGGTCCCAGTAAATATAAAACTAACATGGATTGAAATAACCTTTTGTTTTCATTATAGCTGAAATTCAGTCAGGATAAACAGAATGGGTAAAAGAGTGCAACAGATTATATAAAATATGCAGTAAACTACCACAATAACATGTCTTTTAAATTATGCATCATTTAGAGTCTTTACCAGCCCAATTCTTCTAGTGGAACTTGATATACGGCACCAATAGCTGCAAAGCCATTCATAAAGTCTCAGACTGCATTTAGAGATTCTGAGAACGCAGATGCTGCGAGCTTCTCTCTCACCACTTCCCTCCAAATTTCTGGTCTGCTAGGCGCTGTTTGTGTTCATGGCGCTGTCATTCGCCCGTGATGAGATCATCTGGCTGCTTCGACATGCAGACAACATCCAGAAGAAAAGCACAGATGATTTCATAGACAAGTAAGCGTGGACAAGTGTGTTTGTGTACACGCGTCATGCCTGTATAAACACACTTGCGTCTTCACACCTGCTGATGTGTGTATGTGTGTTTTGCAGACACATAGCTGAGCTGATCTTCTACATGGAGGAGCTCAGAGCTCATGTCAGGAAGTATGGGCCTGTGATGCAGCGATACTACGTCCAGTACCTGTCTGGGTTTGATGCTGTGGTGCTGAATGAACTGGTTCAGGTGGGAACATTTAAAAAACAAATACAAACGCCTGAGACTAAGCACTCTTACTGCATTCAGTCACATTTAATCTGATATTGCTTTCCTCCTAAAACATGGTGTTATTGAGCTGGTGTCACCATCCAGCACGGCTGTGAGGCTGCTTATGTCAGGTGTCAGATTACAGGTCTTACATTTACTGTAACGCAATTTTAAAAGCATGTTTTGTTTTTAATATTAATATAAAAATTCAACTTTTTTGTTTCTATAATGCTCTTCAAACTTTTAAAGGAACGGAATAATTAATTAACATTTTTGTCATATTTAAAAGATGAATCTACAGTGAATACAGTCCTGTCTAATCAGCCTCATTTCCGTTTTATTTTACAGAACCTGTCTGTGTGTCCAGAGGATGAATCTATAATCATGTCTTCATTTGTCAACACCATGACTTCTCTCAGTGTTAAACAAGGTAAGACTGTTAAATGGAAGATCAGGAGAAATCCTGGGACGAGTCGTTATTTTTGCAGTTGCACTGGCAGTATTGATCATAGTACAGTTATTAATAATTAAAGTTACTAAAATACTGAGTGTGATTTGTGTGTTTCAGTGGAGGATGGAGAAGTGTTTGACTTCAGAGGCATGAGACTGGATTGGTTCAGACTGCAGGTATATACACAACTTTCGTGCTTAAATTCTTTTGAAATAAGTCTTTCAAGGAAACTATGTTATCCTTGAAAACTAAAACATAATAAAATATTTAATGTGATATTAACGATCCTGTTCAGTAAGTCGGGGTAGTGCAATATGTAACAATAAAGAACTTGGATTTGTCTTTTATGCCCTGCTTGTGCTGTTATTCCTCTCTAGGCCTACACAAGTGTCTCTAAAGCCAGTCTCGGCTTAGCCGATCACAAAGAGCTCGGTAAAATGATGAACACCATCATCTTCCACACAAAGATGGTGGACTCTCTGGTGGAGATGCTTGTGGAGACATCAGACCTGTCTATTTTCTGGTGAGACACTCATGTGAAACTCTGGTAAGTCCTGTGCATAATTCAGACATAAGTTTAAATATGTATATTTTCCTTTTTTCTCTGTTCTTGTGTGTAGCTTCTACAGCCGTGCATTTGAGAAGATGTTTCAGCAGTGCTTGGAGCTTCCCTCCCAGAGCCGCCACTCAGTCTGTTTCCCTCTGCTTTGTACACACTTCATGTCCTGTACACATGAGCTCTGTCCTGAGGAGGTAAATACACACATGCATACAAAAACCCAGTTTGTGTAATATTCTTTTTAATTTTACATAATGGGGCCTGTAGATGGGGAGATGAGGACATTTGAAAGTTTCCCAAGAATAGATATCTGTGGGTTGAACGGAAGGTACAGAGGAAGGGGGATAGATGGGGAGATGTAATGAAAGGGTGGTGGATATAATGAAGGGAAATGCGTAGAGGTCAGTAAATCAACCGAGACACATTTTCTT